CTGACACTGATTCCAACAGACACCCTCCAAAACCTTCAGAGATCAGTAGCGTATTCTTCCATAACCGGGAACTGTACTGAACCAGCTGGGCAGAGTACTAAATAGTAAAGCGGTCAATCCAAATTTACAGCACTGGAGACAACTGCAGGTTCCAAAAAGCCCTCTAAGAGTCCATATAAGAAGATTAAATGAAGCATTAGGGATCAACCCGTAGTACTGAAGACATTGCTTCATTCAGCGCTGTAGGGATCAGACTAATATAATTAACAGCAAAGGGGGAATCTGTCTTATCCTGTAATAGCATTGAAAGGATGAGAGCACCAGGAAAACGCGAAGGAGTTCAGTAACAATGAATGTATCACGATAAAAAGTCAAAGAGCCAACACGTTTCGGGGGCTAAACTCACCTTTCACCAGGACTCAGATACTGGCATTAAAATCAAATCAAAGGATATAACTATTATCTCATCAGTCTCCTCGGTCTCCACCCGAATCACTTGCCTACTGAGCGACATATCAGACTGGATGTCGCTCCACTTCCTCAAACTGAACCTCTCCAAAACCGAGTTTCTTGTCTTCCCCCCAGCCCAGACACCACCCCCCATTGACTTCTCCATCACATCCAACAACACCACCATCAAACCCGCCCCGCAGGCCAGAGTACTTGGTGTCATTCTGGACTCCAACCTATCCTTCCAGCCCCAAGTCCAATCTTTAACAAACTCGTGCAGACTCCGCCTCCGCAACATGCAGACTCCGCCTCCGCAACATGCAGACTCCGCCTCCGCAACATCGCCAAAATCCACACGTTCCTAACCCCAGAAACCACTAAACAGCTCATCGCTCATCATATCCGACACGTTCCTAACCCCAGAAACCTGCCTAAACAGGCTCATCCACTGAATCCCTCAGACTCATTCACCTATCACGACTCGACTACTGCAACTCCCTCCTCACTGGTCCTCCCTCGCCTCTGGCTATCCCCTCTCCACTCAGTGTCCTCCATCTGAATCCCTCCACTGGCTCCACCAGTGTCTCATTCAACGCTCTGCCAATCCCTCCATGGCCTCTCAGTGTCCTCCCCCCCTCTGCCAATCCCTCCACTGACCTCCACTCAGTGTCCTCCACCCCCCCTCTGCCAATCCCTCCACTGACCTCCACTCAGTGTCCTCCACCCCCCTCTGCCAATCCCTCCACTGGCCTCCATTCAGTGTCCTCCACCCCTCTCTGCCAATCCCTCCACTGGCTTCCGATTGCGCAACGGATCAAATTCAAAATCCTAACACTGACGTACAAAGCCGTCCACCATACTGCCCCGAACTACATCACTGACCTAATATCCAAGTACCGACCAACACGCACACTCCGCTCCTCACAAGACCTCCTTCTCTCTAGTTCCCTGGTCTCCTCCTCCCATGACCGCCTCCAGGATTTCTCCAGGGTGTCACCCATCCTCTGGAACTCCCTGCCCCAACCCATCAGATTATCACCTACTCTCCTCTCCTTTAGGCGCACCCTGAAAACCCATCTCTTCAGGGAAGCCTACCCCACCCCCTGCTAACTTGCCGACCTCCTCCACTCTTCCTACCACTCCATCCCCCACTGCTATCTCCTCCTGTACCACCATCCCCTCCCTCCTAGATTGTAAGCTCCAAGGAGCAGGGCCCTCGATCCCCTCATGTTTTACATTGTATTGGTATTGTTCTGTCACATGTTCTGTCCCCCTCTGTAATGTACAGCGCTGAGCGAACTATTGGCGCTTTATAAATACTGTATAATAATAATAATAATAATAATAATAATCAGCTCCTAGACGGGTATCAGACGGGTATCTTTCTAATCATGGATAGGTTGAGGCAGCTTGGTTCTCCAGGTTCAGTTTGGTGGAAGAATGGTTTATGTTGACTCTTCTGGTTTTGTATTTTTGTTTTTTTTTGGTCTTTTTTTTGTATTTTTACGAAAACATTTTTTCTTTTTCTAAAAAAACATGGAAAACATTGTGGTTTGGGATCTGTACTTAATGTCTACTGTATGCTTGATATGTACTCCATATGCACTGCATTGGTGAAAATTGTTATTAATTAAGTTATTCCCTGATGGAGGTTGGGATTATATAACTTTGTATGTACATGGATCCAAACTTCAATAAAAAAAAAAAAGACCTGATTTAGCCACTTCCCATGTATATAAACGGCTGGACGGGAGCAGCGCAGGAGCGGGTTGCCGTTCATAAACAGCACCCGCCATTTTAGCCTGTGCGCGCTCCCTGGGAGCACGCGGATACCGATTGCTGTACAGGACCTCTGTGCGAGGTCCCCATCATGTTATCACTGATTGGCCAATCAGTGATCACATGAACAGCAGTAAACTGTCACTTCCTGACATCATCACTTACTACTTGGGAAATCTGTGGATGATCACAGAGATCACATGGTACAGGGCCACTCACAACAGCCTTGTACCATGTGACAAGCTGTGACCAATCACAGCTCTCCCAGTACTTCTCAATGGATGCAAGAATGCAGCCAGAGAGAAGGAGAAATTATTGCTTTTACAGCCTTTATGGGTGTAAAAGCAATCCGTGTTAAAAAAAAAAAAAAAATCTTCATCACCCCCCACAAGTAGTACAGTGTCACCATGGTGACCCCACACTGCTAGGGTGACAGTATGTAAAAAAAAAAATAATATAAAAAAATAAAATAAAAATGTGAACTTTTTTTTTGAAAACTTATAATTTTTGGTTATAAACTAGTTTGGGTAATTTTGTTTTACTAAAAATATAACGGAATACATTTTGGCCAAGATTTATGAAGTAAGATTATTTATTTGCAAATTTTTATAAGAAAAACACTTTTTTTCAAAATTTTTGGACTTTTCATTTATATAGCAAAAAATAAAATAAAAATCCCAGCGGTGAATAAATACCACCAAAATAAAGTTTTATCTGTCTCAAAAAAATGCCATATGGGTACAGTGTTGCATGACCGCGCAATTGTCATTCAAAGTGTGATAGCGCTGAAAGCTAAAAATTGGTCTGGACAGGAAGGGGGGGAAAGTGTCCGGACTGGAGGGGGGGGGGAAAGTGTCCGGACTGGAAGGGGGTGAAAGTGTCCGGACTGGAAGGGGGTGAAAGTGTCCGGACTGGAAGGGGGGGGAAAGTGTCCGGACTGGAAGGGGGTGAAAGTGTCCGGACTGGAAAGGGGGGGGTGAAAGCGTCCGGACTGGAAGGGGGTGAAAGCGTCCGGACTGGAAAGGGGGTGAAAGCGTCCGGACTGGAAAGGGGTGAAAGCGTCCGGACTGGAAGGGGGTGAAAGCGTCCGGACTGGAAAGGGGGTGAAAGCGTCCGGACTGGAAGGGGGTGAAAGCGTCCGGACTGGAAGGGGGGAAAGCGTCCGGACTGGAAGGGGGGGGGAAAGCGTCCGGACTGGAAGGGGGGGAAAGCGTCCGGACTGGAAGGGGGGGAAAACTGGAAGGGGGGGGAAAGCGTCCGGACTGGAAGGGGGGGGGGGGAAAGCGTCCGGACTGGAAGGGGGGGGGAAAGCGTCCGGACTGGAAGGGGGGGAAAGCGTCCGGACTGGAAGGGGGGGAAAGTGTCCGGACTGGAAGGGGGGGAAAGTGTCCGGACTGGAAGGGAATGGGGGGGGGAAAGCGTCCGTACTGGAAGGGGGGGAAAGTGTCCGGACTGGAAGGGGGGGAAAGTGTCCGGACTGGAAGGGGGGAAAGTGTCCGGACTGGAAGGGAGGGAAAGTGTCTGGACTGGAAGGGGGGAAAGTGTCCGGACTGGAAGGGGGGGAAAGTGTCTGGACTTGAAGTGGTTAAAAAAAAAAAAATCAAATGAAAGAGAAAGTGTAAAATAGTTGTAAATAAAACAATGGTAGGACGGTGATGGGGGGGTCATGAACCGCCATCTTTGTATTCACTACATTTGCAAATACCGTCCACTATCTCTTCGATTTGATTTTAATGCCTGATGAAGGGTACTTTTTTTTTTTTTTTTTTTTTTTATGTGTTGACTGCTTAACTTTTTGTCATGAAAAAAAAAATAATTTTTTTTACTGGACTCATCCAAGTTTTGTCAGTGTTATCCAAGGAAGGCGCTCTGAGGTCTTTGGGATATATCGATCGGTCTTATCATGAGATTCACCTGCCTTGGGGTCCAGTGCCCAACACACTCATATCCTGTCAGTCCTGGCATATTCTGAGCATGGCAGACACAGGTCCTCTCTAATAACTGTGCTAAACCAGTTTGGGTCCGTGTTCTAATACACAGTAGGAATCTGTAACGGAACCGACCCCAGACTGCGCTTGGGCACTTCCGTTAGAATACCGCTTCCCGCCCGAACACCGACAACAGACACCACAGACGACCATACAAGAGAAGACAACACCAGTCTTGAAGAAAACCAGGAAGCAGACTAGTTTATTTGAACACAGATACAAGATATATACACTCAGGTGACAATCCCCCCTCCCTGCATAATGACACAGGGTGGGGGCAATCTACATTTAGTAACAAGAGACACACCAACAGACAGTCCCATCAGGAGGGAGGGCTGCTGGAAACCCCCCCCCCACCAAGCCAATACCCATAAACATACATACAACCCATAATAGTTTTCTCCCAAGCCAGACACACAATAGAACAATGGGATGCAACCACATGACACCAAAAAATCAACAACAACCCCCCCACCCCAATATTAGGACAGATCACCCTGTACCCCTAACAGGTACAGGGTGACTTACACATAAGAGGGATATGGGGAGCTGAGACAGGGGTCTCCCCACCCCTCCAAAGTGAGCTGTGTTCCATGGGCCCCCCACCCAAAGTGACTCCCGTCACAGGTTCGCTGTATAAACACAGAGCACAGTAGGGATTCCATAATATAGGACGACTCCCTGAACTGTTTTTGGCATTCGTTGGATCTTGGCACACAGCTATGGGGGACAATGCTTCTCCCAGTTGCTTCCAGTCTCACGCCACAGTTTCCCGTCACCTACCTGCTTGGCGCTTCTCTCGAACACCACGTACTGCTGGCATTGGTCCAGCCGCCGCTTCTTCAGGGTCCAGAAGTGCAGGACGCGGTTTTCTCTTTGCAGCAGTTCGCTGAGGATGGCTGCGGGACAAACCAGAGATCGGTGACTTCACACAGAGACCCGACATAAAAAAATTCATAGAAAACGACATGCTGGATATTTTTGCACCAATGACCCCCAATTTTTTGGGCAAAACCAGGGAAGGGCATGTTGGGACTTGGTAGTACCTGAATGCTAGCAGGGAGCCCTTTTAGGCTGGATCAGTACGCAGACCCCTGTGCTATATGTATGTCAGGATATGTGGGGAGCAGAGGATTTCGGATGACACGCTCACTTTATCACACCTAAATAGGATCGTCGGTGTGTAAGAGCGCGTTTGAAAGCATTACCAGTAATCTGCTCCATTCTGCAGCTTAGCGGCTCATAATCCAATAAAAAGCCGCACTCCACTGACACCGACTTCACCGCCCCTTGATTACAGACGTCGTCTCCACCTGAAACTGAGCCACAACGTCTCTATGCTGACGAAATGTTCTGCGGTAACCCAGCTGAAAGTGTCATTTGTAGAAGATTCTGGAGATGCTCTGCGAGGTTCCCGGCTGCTCTGTCTTCTATCCGCAAAACCACCCATCTACTACCCACCTACAGGGGTGTATTCACCACAAGGCAAACAAGGCATTTGCCTAGGGCGGCATTTTTCATGGCAGAAGAAGGGGCACACACGGCATGGGGACCAGGTGGGATCCGCTAGAGAGGGAGGGGCACACACGGCATGGGGACCAGGTGGGATCCGCTAGAGAGGGAGGGACACACACGGCATGGGGACCAGGTGGGATTCGCTAGAGAAGGAGGGACACACACGGCATGGGGACCAGGTGGGATCCGCTAGAGGAAGAGGGGCACACACGGCATGGGGACCAGGTGGGATCCGCTAGAGGAAGAAGGGACACACACGGCATGGGGACCAGGTGGGATCCGCTAGAGAAGGAGGGGCACACACGGCATGGGGACCAGGTGGGATCCGCAGAGAGGAAGAAGGGACACACACGGCAGGGGGACCAGGTGGGATCCGCTAGAGAAGGAGGGACACACACGGCATGGGGACCAGGTGGGATCCGCTAGAGAAGGAGGGACACACACGGCAGGGGGACCAGGTGGGATCCGCTAGAGAAGGAGGGACACACACGGCATGGGGACCAGGTGGGATCCGCTAGAGAAGGAGGGACACACACGGCAGGGGGACCAGGTGGGATCCGCTAGAGAGCCAGTGGGGGGGAATAGTGCCCCATCGTTGGTGCCAGTGGGGGGAATAGTGCCCCATCGTTGGTGCCAGTGGGGGGAATAGTGCCCCATCGTTTGGTGTTGGTGCCCCAGGTGTCAGGGGGAATAGTGCCCCATCGTTGGTGTCAGTGGGGGGAATAGTGCCCCATCGTTGGTGTCAGTGGGGGAATAGTGCCCCATCGTTGGTGTCAGTGGGGGGAATAGTGCCCCATCGTTGGTGTCAGTGGGGGGAATAGTGCCCCATCGTTGGTGTCAGTGGGGGGAATAGTGCCCCATCGTTGGTGTCAGTGGGGGGAATAGTGCCCCATCGTTGGTGTCAGTGGGGGGAATAGTGCCCCATCGTTGGTGTCAGTGGGGGAATAGTGCCCCATCGTTGGTGTCAGTGGGGGGAATAGTGCCCCCATCGTTGGTGTCAGTGGGGGGAATAGTGCCCCATCGTTGGTGTCAGTGGGGGGAATAGTGCCCCATCGTTGGTGTCAGTGGGGGGAATAGTGCCCCATCGTCGGTGTCAGTGGGGGAATAGTGCCCCATCGTCGGTGTCAGTGGGGGGAATAGTGCCCCATCGTCGGTGTCAGTGGGGGGAATAGTGCCCCATCGTCGGTGTCAGTGGGGGGAAATAGTGCCCCATCGTCGGTGTCAGTGGGGGGAATAGTGCCCCATCGTCGGTGTCAGTGGGGGGAATAGTGCCCATCGTCGTGTCAGTGGGGGGAATAGTGCCCCATCGTCGGTGTCAGTGGGGGGGAATAGTGCCCCATCGTCGGTGTCAGTGGGGGAATAGTGCCCCATCGTCGGTGTCAGTGGGGGGAATAGTGCCCCATCGTCGGTGTCAGTGGGGGGAATAGTGCCCCATCGTCGGTGTCAGTGGGAGGAATAGTGCCCCATCGTCGGTGTCAGTGGAGGAATAGTGCCCCATTCGTCGGTGTCAGTGTGGTGGAGGGGGAAAATAGTGCCCCATCGTTGGTGTCGGTGGGGGGGAGAATAGTGCCCCATCGTTGGTGTCGGTGGGGGGAGGAATAGTGCCCCATCGTTGGTGTCGGTGGGGGGAGGAATAGTGCCCCATCGTTGGTGTCGGTGGGGGGAGGAATAGTGCCCCATCGTTGGTGTCGGGGTGGGGGAGGAATAGTGCCCCATCGTTGGTGTCGGTGGGGGGAGGAATAGTGCCCCATCGTTGGTGTCGGGTGGGGGGAGGAATAGTGCCCCATCGTTGGTGTCGGGGGGAGGAATAGTGCCCCATCGTTGGTGTCGGTGGGGGGGAGGAATAGTGCCCCATCGTTGGTGTCGGTGGGGGGAGGAATAGTGCCCCATCGTTGGTGTCGGTGGGGGGAGGAATAGTGCCCCATCGTTGGTGTCGGTGGGGGGAGGAATAGTGCCCCATCGTTGGTGTCGGTGGGGGGAGGAATAGTGCCCCATCGTTGGTGTCGTGGGGGGAGGAATAGTGCCCCATCGTTGGTGTCGGTGGGGGGAGGAATAGTGCCCCATCGTTGGTGTCGGTGGGGAGGAATAGTGCCCCATCGTTGGTGTCGGTGGGGGAGGAATAGTGTGTGCCCCATCGTTGGTGTCGGTGGGGGGAGGAATAGTGCCCCATCGTTGGTGTCGGTGGGGGGAGGAATAGTGCCCCATCGTTGGTGTCGGTGGGGGGAGGGAATAGTGCCCCATCGTTGGTGTCGGTGGGGGGAGGAATAGTGCCCCATCGTTGGTGTCGGTGGGGGGAGGAATAGTGCCCCATCGTTGGTGTCGGTGGGGGGAGGAATAGTGCCCCATCGTTGGTGTCGGTGGGGGGAGGAATAGTGCCCCATCGTTGGTGTCGGTGGGGGGAGGAATAGTGCCCCATCGTTGGGTGTCGGTGGGGGAGGAATAGTGCCCCATCGTTTGGTGTCGGTGGGGGGGGGAGGAATAGTGCCCCATCGTTGGTGTGGGGGGGGGAGGAATAGTGCCCCATCGTTGGTGTCGGTGGGGGGAGGAATAGTGCCCCATCGTTGGTGTTCGGTGGGGGGAGGAATAGTGCCCCATCGTTGGTGTCGGTGGGGGGAGGAATAGTGCCCCATCGTTGGTGTCGGTGGGGGGGAGGAATAGTGCCCCATCGTTGGTGTCGGTGGGGGGAGGAATAGTGCCCATCGTTGGTGTCGGTGTGGGGGAGGAATAGTGCCCCATCGTTGGTGTCGGTGGGGGGGAAATAGTGCCCCATCGTGGTGTCGGTGGGGGGAGGAATAGTGCCCCCCCATCGTCGGTGGGGTCGGTGGGGGGAGGAATAGTGCCCCATCGTTGGTGTCGGTGGGGGAGGAATAGTGCCCCATCGTTGGTGTCGGTGGGGGGAGGAATAGTGCCCCATCGTTGTGTCGGTGGGGGGAGGAATAGTGCCCCATCGTTGGGTGTCGGTGGGGGGAGGAATAGTGCCCCATCGTTGGTGTCGGTGGGGGGGAGGAATAGTGCCCCATCGTTGGTGTCGGTGGGGGGAGGAATAGTGGCCCCATCGTTGGTGTCGGGTGGGGGGGAGGAATAGTGCCCCATCGTTGGTGTCGGTGGGGGGAGGAATAGTGCCCCATCGTTGGTGTCGGTGGGGGGAGGAATAGTGCCCCATCGTTGGTGTCGGTGGGGGGGAGGAATAGTGCCCCATCGTTGGTGTCGGTGGGGGAGGAATAGTGCCCCATCGTTGGTGTCGGTGGGGGGAGGAATATTGCCCCATCGTTGGTGTCGGTGGGGGGAGGAATAGTGCCCATCGTTGGGGTGTCGGTGGGGGGGAGGAGAATAGTGCCCCATCGTTGGTGTCGGTGGGGGAGGAATAGTGCCCCATCGTTGGTGTCGGTGGGGGGAGGAATAGTGCCCCATCGTTGGTGTCGGTGGGGGAGGAATAGTGCCCCATCGTTGGGTGTCGGTAGGGGGGAGGAATAGTGCCCCATCGTTGGTGTGTCGGTGGGGGGAGGAATAGTGCCCCATCGTTGGTGTCGGTGGGGGGAGGAATAGTGCCCCATCGTTGGTGTCGGTGGGGGGAGGAATAGTGCCCCCATCGTTGGTGTCGGTGGGGGGAGGAATAGTGCCCCATCGTTGGTGTCGGTGGGGGAGGAATAGTGCCCCATCGTTGGTGTCGGTGGGGGGGGAGGAATAGTGCCCCATCGTTGGTGTCGGTGGGGGGGAGGAATAGTGCCCCATCGTTGGTGTCGGTGGGGGGAGGAATAGTGCCCCATCGTTGGTGTCGGTGGGGGGAGGAATAGTGCCCCATCGTTGTGTCGGTGGGGGGGAGGAATAGTGCCCCATCGTTGGTGTCGGTGGGGGGAGGAATAGTGCCCCATCGTTGGTGTCGGTGGGGGGAGAATAGTGCCCCATCGTTGGTGTCGGTGGGGGGAGGAATAGTGCCCCATCGTTGGTGTCGGTGGGGGAGGAATAGTGCCCCATCGTTGGTGTCGGTGGGGGGAGGAATAGTGCCCCATCGTTGGTGTCGGTGGGGGGAGGAATAGTGCCCCATCGTTGGTGTCGGTGGGGGGAGGAATAGTGCCCCATCGTTGGTGTCGGTGGGGGGAGGAATAGTGCCCCATCGTTGGTGTCGGTGGGGGGAGGAATAGTGCCCCATCGTTGGTGTCGGTGGGGGGAGGAATAGTGCCCCATCGTTGGTGTCGGTGGGGGGGAGGAATAGTGCCCCATCGTTGGTGTCGGTGTGGGGAGGAATAGTGCCCCATCGTTGGTGTCGGTGGGGGGAGGAATAGTGCCCCATCGTTGGTGTCGGTGGGGGGAGGATAGTGCCCCATCGTTGGTGTCGGTGGGGGGAGGAATAGTGCCCCATCGTTGGGTGTCGGTGGGGGGAGGA